GGGGCGGGGGATGGAAGCCAGTGGAGGGATTGGCAGAGGGGGGCAGGGGATGGAAGCCAATGCGGGGATTGGCAGAGGGGGGTTGCATGTATGTATGGTAAGTATGCAGGTAATCCACATGACACGACAAGGTGTGAGGCTGTAGCAGGGGCAGACATTTGTGAACACAGCCAAGACCGGGTAGGCACCGGGATGTACATGATTGTGTCATCTCAGAGCCAGCATCTTAGTCCAGAAATGTATGGTGACCCTGGATGATGCCTGAACAAAGATGGCGCTGTGCTTCTGGAGGCAAGAAGCAGACGAAGACATTGTCAGGGTGGGGTGGGGGTACTGTGATCTTTGTGAGTAGTAATAATGTCCGTACATGTTACACTTTGTGCATTATTTAGCATGCATGTACTTAACATCTGTTGCTATTTCCACATTGGTGAACCTTTGACAGACCTATGCCGACATACTCTCTCTGTGTTTTATTTTTTTGCATTTACAGACAGTAAACTTTACTCAAAGCCGCGGAGTGGAGGAAAACTGAGAAGGTAATTGTAGCATGCCTGTGTGACTTCAAGACTGCTTCCTCCATTTGGCCCTCCATCTGTGCTTTAACTACAAATCCCATCATGTCCCTGCCTCTGGGAGTCATGCCTGTAGCTGTCAGTCTTGCAATGCCTCATGGGACTTGTAGTTCTACAACAGCTGGAGGGCCAGAGTTGCCCACACCTATTCTAGGGTGTAAAATAACAAAGTTATACTCAACCTCGCAGCTAGCTGGCTATTAGATTGGTCCCTGGAGCCTCTCTCCCCCTCACCTCCGGCGGGTCTAAGGTCCTGTCCAGTACATAGTGTATAGGACATGAGGACACTGGGGGACATACCATCGCTACAGCAGAGATGGAGACAGGCTGGAGGGAGCACTATGACTGCAAAGTTCGTGTGAGTATAACTTTGTTATTTTGGTCCCTAGATGACAATGAGCACTTAACCCTTGCAAGAATCATTTTCCTGGAGTTCTTCTTTAATATAGGCATTTGTGTTCCTAACTGTCACAGATCAGCAGCAAAGCTAATCTGCTACTTGTGGTTCTACCACCATGTGGTCTCTCCTGCTTCAGCCTGCTTTGTTTCCAGGAATAGGAGGTGTAGGCATTGAGGGATTCACCTGCTGGTTGTCATAGCACCTACACAACCAGTCCCCAGCCGGCCTGTCAATCAGACCACCACCCGTTGCCTGAGCAATAGCTTCTGTTCCTAGCCCCAGGCTCCAGTCCCTATTACTGCCTACGTTTCTGTTTCTCCGGATACTGACTGCAGCCTGTATCTGACTATGCTTGTTCACTGCCTGTCTGACCATTTGCCTGTCCCTCTTTCTGATGTTGCCTGTCCCTCTTTCTGATGTTGCCTGTCCCTCTTTCTGATGTTGCCTGTCCCTCTTTCTGATGTTGCCTGTCCCTCTTTCTGATAATGCTCTGGTTCTATTCCTCGTCAGCTGCCATCAGCACAGATGTGTTTTGGGGCTTGAAGGTTTTTGCAAGTTTAAATTCAATAAATTCTTCACTGAGGGTATTTCCGGAGCATAGTATCTTGTACTTTATATAGTAGGTTCTGATTTGATAACGTACATTCGCATTGAACAGAGACATTACATTGTATTATTTCATCCCTTAGAACATCCAGTAATATTTATCAGGGTCTTCCAAGAATCACCTCCCATAACATTGTACAACGCCCGGTGTCCCGGACCAATCCCAAGTTGACAGACAGACCACCCAAAGGAGAGAATTCCAGACAGGTGAGTAGATGAATAGGCCAATGTTACTTTTGGCATAAAAAGGACCTATTGCATTTGATATGAACATTTTGGTTTTGTACATACATGCAGGGCCTGCCGATAGGGGGGTACATCCAGCCCTCTTGTACTGGGCCCAGGCTCCATCCGGTCACGGGGGGTACCTGAGCCTCAGCCCAGGGAAGGTTGTCTGGTTATAGGAACGTTACTCTCCAGTAGGTGGCAGGGAGTGGGTGGTCCTGAATAGTATCCAATGGGAGCCTGCGTTGACCAATAGAGCTGCCTGAGGTGTGCCTCCAGCCAATGAGAGCAGGGTGGGCATGACCAGACTGAGCAAGGAGATGATTCTTGGGTCTGGCCCTGTGAAGAGAGAGCAAAGCGGGCACATTTCTCAGCTCGCTCCTGAAGGAAGTGGGGAAGGAGGGTGCTAAAGTGGGGTTATTAGAGAGGGGGGGGGTCTGTCAAGTAGGTTGTATGGGGTCCCATCATTTCTAATGGTGGCCTTGCACACATTTATACATGTGTGTATATATACATCAATGCATACCTGTCTTCTTCTGTGGGTGCAAATTGGGGGCTGTAGTATAAATGATTAAGGCTGATAAAAGATGCATCAGAAGGGTAGAGAGGCAAGGCTGCAAATACTATTATAGTTATAGGTTCTCTGTTCTCCTGAATGGGCAGTTCAGAGAAAATCACTTTGGCAGAAGTGGACACTGTACTCTGACTGCATGAGCGTGGGGAGGAGGAAGAGTTTTAGGCCAACAGAAAGCTAGGCCAGCTCAGCTATTTTGATAGGAAGAATTCACTAAAAATAGCTATTTGTAGGGATGCACCGATACTAGTATCGATATCGGTGCCGAAACCGAGTATTTTGGCGAATATTCATACTCGCCCAAATACTCTGATACCGGAACTTCCGGTCAGAGGGAGATCTCCATCTGACCGGCAGTGCCAAGGGAGCATGGAGCCAGCTTCCTTTCCAATCAGCCTGTCTCACGGCTTCCTGATTGGCAAGGACGCCGGCTTCACGTGTTGCTAAGCTGCCTGGCTTCCTAACCAATCAGGAAGCCGGGCGGCATGTAATGACCCGGCTCCCGGCTTCCTGATTGGTGTCACGCTTGCTGTAGGTGCAACGGAGTGGATCGCAACTGCGGAGGGAAATAATCTGGTGGTGTATATAGACGGCTTCTCAGGCTTGAGTCTCAGGCGTCACTCCCGTCTTGGCGGGGAGTTTGAGACTCTAGCATCACAGCCGTGAGTAACAAAAATATTGAGGCAGCGCTATTTACTTCATAGCAGACTTCTCATAGTAACAACTAAAGTCAAGGATGAACTTGTTAACGTTTGCAAGGAGTGGTGTCCACAGTTATATGGGTTAGCAAGCAGTTATTCCCCGGAGCATAGATGCAGGTGAAGTAACACAGCCTTTGGCACATATATGCGGCAGAGCTTGCGGTTGGAGTTGTTGTGGAGCAGCTCTGTTGCAGATCCTAAGGCTGAGGGAGAGGTGGTCCGTCACAGGCAGTGTTGGGGTCCAGGCAGACTTGGTTCAGGAGGCAGCAGGCGTTCTGACTCCAATTGTGGAACGCCATGCTGCCTCAGTTGGGTGTATGGGGTCCCATCATTTCTAATGGTGGCCTTGCACACATTTATACATGTGTGTATATATACATCAATGCATACCTGTCTTCTTCTGTGGGTGCAAATTGGGGGCTGTAGTATAAATGATTAAGGCTGATAAAAGATGCATCAGAAGGGTAGAGAGGCAAGGCTGCAAATACTATTATAGTTATAGGTTCTCTGTTCTCCTGAATGGGCAGTTCAGAGAAAATCACTTTGGCAGAAGTGGACACTGTACTCTGACTGCATGAGCGTGGGGAGGAGGAAGAGTTTTAGGCCAACAGAAAGCTAGGCCAGCTCAGCTATTTTGATAGGAAGAATTCACTAAAAATAGCTATTTGTAGGGATGCACCGATACTAGTATCGATATCGGTGCCGAAACCGAGTATTTTGGCGAATATTCATACTCGCCCAAATACTCTGATACCGGAACTTCCGGTCAGAGGGAGATCTCCATCTGACCGGCAGTGCCAAGGGAGCATGGAGCCAGCTTCCTTTCCAATCAGCCTGTCTCACGGCTTCCTGATTGGCAAGGACGCCGGCTTCACGTGTTGCTAAGCTGCCTGGCTTCCTAACCAATCAGGAAGCCGGGCGGCATGTAATGACCCGGCTCCCGGCTTCCTGATTGGTGTCACGCTTGCTGTAGGTGCAACGGAGTGGATCGCAACTGCGGAGGGAAATAATCTGGTGGTGTATATAGACGGCTTCTCAGGCTTGAGTCTCAGGCGTCACTCCCAGTCTTAGCGGGTAGTTTGAGACTCTAGCATCACAGCCGTGAGTAACAAAAATATTGAGGCAGCGCTATTTACTTCATAGCAGACTTCTCATAGTAACAACTAAAGTCAAGGATGAACTTGTTAACGTTTGCAAGGAGTGGTGTCCACAGTTATATGGGTTAGCAAGCAGTTATTCCCCGGAGCATAGATGCAGGTGAAGTAACACAGCCTTTGGCACATATATGCGGCAGAGCATGCGGTTGGAGTTGTTGTGGAGCAGCTCTGTTGCAGATCCTAAGGCTGAGGGAGAGGTGGTCCGTCACAGGCAGTGTTGGGGTCCAGGCAGACTTGGTTCAGGAGGCAGCAGGCGTTCTGACTCCAATTGTGGAACGCCATGCTGCCTCAGTTGGGGCTTTAAATAGCCCGAGGATATGGGAGGAGCCGCTGGCCAGAACACACGGCTTCCGCGTTCCACCGTGGAACGCAGGCCACTCGCCTCTCAATCAGGAAGTCGAGCGGCTCCCGCGTTCCACCGTGGAACGCAGAGCGGCAGTCACAGTAGATGGCGAGACCGGAGCAGCCTTGTCCCGACGGGACTCGTTACAATTGGTCAGGAAGCAAGCTTCCTGGAACAAGTGAAGCCGGCTTCCTAGCCAATCAGGAAGCCGGGAGGTGGGTCATGATGTGCCGCCCGGCTTTCTGATTGACTAGGAAGCCAGCTTACTTGTTGGTAGGCAATCTGGCTTGCTAACCAATCAGGAAGCCGGGTGGCACGTCATGACTCACCTCCTGGCTTCCTGCTTAGCCAGGAAGCCAGGCATCCCCTGGAGCTGGAAGCCTTCTTTCGCTAGAACATCAGCTTCACAGGCAATCAGGAAGCCGGGCGTCGGGTCATGATCCGCCACCCAACTTCCTAATAATCTGAGCACACGACACCGGTACTCAGTATCAACAAGTACCGAAAAAATTAATAAATATCGGTACTCGATACTGAAAGACCAGTATCGGTGGATCCCTAGCTTTTTGTGGCAGACAACATACACTGTATGGCCAACATTTCTGGACAACTGACCATTACACGTATGTGAGCATGTTGGACATCCCATTCCAATTCCATGCTCGCCCCACCGTCATCTGTGGCTATAACCACCTCCATCCTCTGAGAAGGCTTTCCACAAGATTTTGGCGGGTGTCTGTGGGAATTTGTGCCCATTCAGCTAAAAGAGAATTGAGCATACGAGGTTAGGTACTGATGGTGGATGAGAAGACCCGTCTGGCAGCCGGCATTCCACATCATCTCAAAGGTGTTGAGTGGAGTCGATGTCGGCTCTGTGGAGGCCACTTCTACACCAAACTCATCAAACTATGTCTTTATGGAGCTGGCTGTGTGTACAATCATCCCAGAACAGAAAAGGGCCTTCACCAAACTGGTACCACAAGGCTGAAAGCGCACAATTTGTGTAAAATGTCTTTGTATGCTGTAGCATTAACTTCACATCCGCCTTCACTGGAAACACCTGAACTCACATTTGACGGGATGTCCACATTTTTGGCCATATAGTGTACACTAGGACATTTCCTAAAATTCCTGGATGACTAGGGCAATGTATTCAATAGGAAGCTAAGATCAAGAACACGTAGCAGGAGGAAAGATCACAACTTGATGCTGGGAACAGACCTCCAGCAGAGGTAGCAAGTCTGTCCACACTGAGTGAATTTAAAACTTAACATGAAAAAAATAAAGGAGCAGACCCGATGGACCACTTGTCTTTTTCTGCCATCACTCTTCTATGTCTCTATGTTCAATATTTTACAGGAAAATGGCAGCCACAGCCCAGCGGAAGTTGAGGTCGCCCTAAATGTTTCTGCCATAAACAGAAGCGGGGGAGAAGGTGCTTTACACAAGAGGGTCAGTATCATTCTACAAGAAGGAGCTATGGGAAGAACAACATATGGACTGGTGTTAGTAGCTCAGATGTGACTCTGACTTGTGCCCTTTTACCAAATTTTTAAAGGAAAATATAATTTTTCTGGGTTTATTTTCCTATATTGCATACATTGTAAAAGTGATATTTTATATTTCTTCTTAATCTTATTAGGGATGCACTGATACCGATACTAATGCTCCGATACTTACCTCCGATTCCGGAACTTCTGGTCAGATAGAGATCTCTCTCTGACCGGCAGTGCCGAGGGAGCATGGAGCCAGCTTTCTTTCCAATTAGGAATCCGGGCGGCATGTAAAGACCCGCCTCCCGGCTTTCTGATTGGCCCGAAATGACCCGCCTCCCAGCTTTCTGACTCGCTGCCCGGCTTTGTGATTGGTCAGGCAGCCTCTGAAGCTTGTGTTCTTTTGCTAGAGCACCGGCTTCACAGGAAATCAGGAAGTTGGGTGACGGCTCATGATCTGCCGCCCGACTTCCTGATAATAAGGGCATGAGAGAGAGAGAGAGAGAGAAAGAGAGAGAGAAAGAGAGAAAGAGAGAGAGAGAGAACTGTGGTCTATGAGGGCCCATGAGGCACTGCAAGACTGACAGTTACACCCATGACTCCCAGAGGTGTCTCTCTCTCTCTCTCTCTCTCTCTCTCTCTTTCTCTCTCTCTTTCTCTCTCTCTTTTAACTACAAATCCCAACATGAGAGGCTCAGCATAAAGAGAGGCCAGCATCCCATGTAAACTATAGCTTGCCTAGACCTTGGCAGACCTAGACCTTGACCTGGGTATCCTGAAAACATGCATTGGTAGTTCTATTTGCAGTAAAATAACTCTATCTTCCATGGAGGCCTGGCCTTTCTTCATGCTCAGTGTTCGGGTCTTTCTATTGGCTGCCCAGCCCTGAGCGCTGTCACACTGGGGAGGTCATGTGCTCCCCCACCAAAATGCCCACTGTATTACAGAAGGATTCTGATTGGCAGGAGTAAACACAGGTCAACAAGTTTACCTTTCTGGGAGGGTGTCAGTCTGTCAGGGGTACTGTCACTCTGCCCTGATTGAACACAGTGGCATTGTCTCTTTACACCAGTTATTGTATCATTAACTTACTATTGACTGTCATGTTTCTCCCATTCAATACAACAGGGACAGATTATTGATTTTCGTGGCATGATACAAGATGCGATTAAAGGGGCGTCAAATGAAATTGCTATGAACAGCTTAAACAGCAATCCGGACCCTGCGGTGAGTTCTACCATTTGTAGCGGTTCAAAGTCCCCCCAGAACAAGAACTAGATCAGACACCCCAGCAAGCAGCAACAGACTCCCCTCCATTGTACAGTATGAGTAGTGCAGAACCCTGTTATCTCTGGGCATCATCATGGAGGTCCAAAGTGCCCAAAGAAGAACTAAAGCGGACAGTCCATGTTACCCCAGCAAATAGTTACTCCCCCCCCCCCATTGTACAGTATGTAAGGTACCCTGTTATCTCTGGGCATCATCATGGAGGTCCAAAGTGCCCAAAGAAGAACTAAAGCGGACAGTCCATGTTACCCCAGCAAATAGTTACTCCCCCCCCCCCATTGTACAGTATGTAAGGTACCCTGTTATCTCTGGGCATCATCATGGAGGTCCAAAGTGCCCAAAGAAGAACTAAAGCGGACAGTCCATGTTACCCCAGCAAATAGTTACTCCCCCCCCCCCATTGTACAGTATGTAAGGTACCCTGTTATCTCTGGGCATCATCATGGAGGTCCAAAGTGCCCAAAGAAGAACTAAAGCGGACAGTCCATGTTACCCCAGCAAATAGTTACTCCCCCCCCCCCATTGTACAGTATGTAAGGTACCCTGTTATCTCTGGGCATCATCATGGAGGCAAAATAGCTCCATCCCCACCTACTTGGAGTTTGTATCTTCTTCCGGTATCTTTGCTGGTTTTGTTCTGGTTGTTATAATTTTTCCCACATTGCAAGCACTTACCCGGGGGCCAGGTGCACCATTAGACATTGTAGGCCTGTGGCTATAGGCAGCAGGCACAAAGATGGCTTTTGCCTTCATAGTGATCTGCCGCGTATTTCTCCCATCAGATGGTTAAATTAGAATAGAGTTAGAGCCAAACTTTTTTTTATGCAATACTTCTCTTTTCGGTCGCAAGAGTGTATTTACTAATGTGCTCCTTCGACCTAAAGTCTGCTGCTAATGCCTGTTCTTGACTGGCAGGGCAAAGCTGAGCCAAAGTCAAGGAAAATCCCAACAATGTTCTGAATATTCCACAATATTGAGTCAACAGCACCTACCCCTTCCCCTGTCTGTAGCTCCTGATGGGCTTCTCATGTCGGTGCAGTTCTTGGCTATAATCACAAATGTCTGACACAGCTCAGCCCCTGCAACAGCCTCCACCCTTGTGACTTTTTAGATTGTTACAGCTTTAAAAAAAAAAAATCACACTATTGCTGTTTATTGTGACATATCATGAATTTTAATGAACTTTACTACTTGGATTCGAAGTGGCACCATCCAGTGTCACTGCAGCACCCACTTTAAAAGGGACATACCAGTAAGGAGTGCGGTGGGAACCTCTTTGGAACGTACATCATGAATTTATTCACACAGCGTGTAAAGTTGGTGAACGTATTCATTTTCTGGTATATAATTGCGTCAGTTAATTCCCTTTTCCTTTGTTCTCCCCCAGGAACGTTTACTCAAACCGGTCAGTGCATTTATCGGGGCCAACAGCGAGATGAGGGAACTGGCAGCAGTGATCAGCAGGGTGAGGTTGTATGGTACCATATCTTATCCTGAGGATATCATAAATACACCGATTGGACATAACATTATACTTTCTGTTTGCCTGATGAAGGGACCTCTTGGTTCCGAAACGTTGCATGGAAATGCTGCACCATTTAGTCAATAAATAGATTGACTGGATCTTACATTGTAGTGCGAGTGACTCTTTGCTGGTTTCACCTTTTCCTGACCCGTCGCGGAATGGACTCCACTAGACCCCTGAAGGTGTGCTGTGGTATCTGGCACCAAGCCGTCAGTAGCAGATCCTTTAAGTCCTGTAAGTTGTGAGGTGGGACCTCCATGGATCGGACTTGTTTTTCCAGCACATCCCACAGATTACCGATTGGAGTGAGATCTTGGGAATTTGGAGGCCAAGTCATCACCTCAAACTCATTGTTGTGTTCCTCAAACCATTCTTGAACCATTTTTGTGGTGCACCAGGGCGCATTATCCTGCTGAAAGAGGCCACTGCCATCAAGGAATACAATTTCCATGAAGGGGTGTACTTGGTCAGTAACAATGTTTAGGTCAGTGGTACGTGTCATAGTAACATCCACATGAATGGCAGGACCCAAGGATTCCCAGCAGAACATTGCCCAAAGTATCACACTGCCTCCGCCGGCTTGTCTTCTTCCCATAATGCATAATGTTATGGCTGATCGGTGTATAGCCTGAGGAATTGTGTCCGTTTGTCCTGTTCTAATGATTTCAGTTGGCACATACGCTTTAGAAGTATACGCTTTAGAGTGCACAATGAATCAAAGAAATGTTATATCTTAATGGCACCCCAATGCACCTACCCATCGCATATGCGTTCCATCGCACCACATCACATGGTAACTTATTACCATGCGATGTGGTGTGAATTTAAAAAAGAGGGACATGCACTTCTTTCAGTGTGATTAAAAATAGTTGGACTTCCTACCGTAGTGCACTCTGAAGCACCTCTGTGGCATTTAAGTTTTATAAATAAAAGATGAATGAGGGCTTATAAAGAAGAGAGGAGGGGAAGTTGTCCTGTAGTGCTATCCTAGATCACTCCTCCATAGATAGCATACAGTTAGTGAACGTTGTCACCCTTGGACAGGAAGTGTGTTCCTAAAAAATGAATGCAGCCATCACATCTAAGGACCGGTAAGCTGCAATATACTGTATGACCATTTTACGTTTTGACCGCTCGACACAGACTGAAGTTTATGCCCCCTGGACACATTCTATAGTTAGTAATTGGAATTTTGCTCTTTTTACAGGATATTTATTTACAGAACCCAAACGTAAGGTGGGATGACATCATCGGGCTGGACGCAGCGAAGCGACTCGTGAAAGAGGCCGTGGTCTACCCTATACGAGTGAGTTTGGTTTGGCCTCAATACCAATCATATCAGGGTGTTGTTTTATGATGAAGCTGATCAGTTCTGAAACCAGTGAAATCAATAAAGAAGGTAATTCAGGTAGTTTGGGGCAGTTTGTATGGTCCAGTGGGCTTTAAATGGCATCTTTTAGAGCAGAACTTCAGGGGAAAAATAACATGGGACTACCCCCTGCAAGGGTTAAGTGCCAGTATGTAGCTAGGTTAAAAAAAAGAGCCAGCTGTTAGACCGGCCCCTTCTGCCTCACTCCCCCTCCGCTGCAGGGGTCTAAGGATCCTCGAGTTGTCCTGTTCTATACACAGTGTATAGGACGTGACGACGCCGAGAGGCATACCATCACTGAAGCGGAGAAGGAGAGAGCTGGAGGGAGCGCTGCGACATCTGTCCGGATCCGAGGTTCGAGTGAATATAACTTTTTTTTTTTAACCTAGAATAATGAGCACTTAACCCTTGCAGTGGGGGGGGAGGGGGTAGCCCCACTGCAAGGGTTAAGATTGTTTTTCCCCGAAGTTCTTCCACAATCCTGGACCTCTTCCTGTGCCTAAAAACGGCCTCACAGCTGTAAGTGGAGGTCTGCCCGGGTGCTTTCCTTCAGAACGCGCCTCCGCTCCCACAGTCAAACGAAACAATCCGGCCGCACGCCGATGATGTCACTGGTAGTAAGAACTTTATTTAGACTCGGCATATGCCATGACATGGGGGGTGGACCATTTGACGGGACCTCATGTCGACTTTGTCGACTCTGAATAAAGCTCTTACTACCAGCGACGTCATCAGTGTGCGGCTGGATGCTTTTGTTTGACTGTGACTACATCAATAAATGTTTAAATGCACAACAAAGGAAATAAACACAAATGCAAAGAACACTAAATTAAATAAACTTCAATATACCTCCCAAAATTAAAGCTCACACCCGTGAAATAAAGAAATTGTTCATTTTTTTCACGCAAATTTATCCTAAGCAGCTCAGTCAGTGAAGTTGAGCGTTTCAATTAAATTTTGCTGAAGCTAAAATCAGTCATTTTGTTGCTCAATCAGTTTTACTAATTTGTTACCCATTCCCCACCAAAGTGCAGGGAGGAGGCGGGGCAGTGGCACAAAGTCAGAAGAGTTTCAGGGTCTGAAAGATGTTATTTCCCTCTTTATTACACATGGCCATATAACTCAGCAGAATGGGAGGATTACAGGAGTATACACATTACTTAACAATCCTTTTGAGTAGGGATGCACTGATACCGTTTTTTTCGGTATCGAGTACCGATATTTTGCTTTCGGTGTTTGTCGATACCGAGTACCGATAACGTTGCTTCCGCTGGCATGGAGCTGGCTTCCCGGGCAATCTGATTGCCCGAGAAGCTGGCTCCATGTTGTCTGGCTGGCTTGATTTTGCTTGGCCGGTAAAACGGCTTTCCAGCCAATCAGCATCGAGCCGGCTTCCTGGCCAATCAGAAAGCTGGGTGGCGAGTAATGACCCACCTCCCGGCTTCCTGATTGGCCAATCAGCATGGAACCGGCTTCCTGGCTAATTAGGAAGCCGAGAGCTCATTACTCGCTGGCCAGCTTCCTGATCTCACGGGAAGCTGGCTCCATGTTCCCTTACGGCACTGCCGGTCAGAGGTACTCTTCCTCTGATCGCAAGTGCCGGTATCGGGGAATGTATCATAGCATCCATGTCCATACAGTTTTTTTTTTTTTTTTCCTCCATTGTGCAATGGAAGAAAAAACTGACATTACTGGACCCATGTTAGTCTATGGGCAGCCGGATTTAAACGGACGGGCATCCATTAACATCCGGTCATTCCTGATCCAGTACGATCAGGTCCGGCGAAACGGATCTCAGATGTGTTTGTTTTTCCAGACCTGGCTGGAATTGGGGGTAACCATATGTAAACAGATGGCCGTTCATTTAGATGCGACTGCCCATAGACCAACATCGGGCTTCTGATCAGGTCCGCCTGAAAAACTGACAGGTGGACCTGATCGGAAAGCCCGTGTGAAAGAGGCCTATGGCCCTCAGTTATGTATGAAGCTGTATGGCTGGAGTTGTCCTTTTACAGTTTCCTAATTTAGAATTGAATAATATATTGATTTATATTCATTATCTTTGTTTGCAGTACCCACAGCTATTCACTGGAATCTTGTCACCATGGAAGGGGCTTTTGCTGTATGGGCCTCCAGGTAAATATAAAGCGCTTTACATTTGAAGATTAGCTGTACGTAGAGGGGATGTTTCCGCTGTAGGTGCAATATTTAGGGCTGAGCCTTCTGATAGAAGTCAGTGATGAGATTTCTCAGCCATCCTGGGATATTTGACTAATTCCTTATTATAAAGCTACCATGGACATGCCTGCATAGGTGCAGATAGAAGTAGAGACAACCACACTCCAGATGCAGATCAAATGCATCTATTTATTGACGTAAATGCAGCATATCACACTGGTGCAATGTTTCGGGGTCTCACAGGGGTCTCTCCTCGGTCAGAACATGTTCTGCCTGAGGAAGGGGATCCTGCGAGACCCCGAAACGTTGCACCAGTGTGATATGCTGCATTTACATCAATCAATAGACGCATTAGATCTGCATCTGGAGTGTCGTTGTCTCTACTTCTATCTGTGTACATGACAGTTGCTATCCTTTGACCACCACTGCACCCATCCAATTCATATGGGATAAGCGGTCAGGAGTGCGATGGGTTCATGGACTCTGGTTGGATAGGTGCAGGGGCACGGCGCTTTAACACAATCATAAGGAAGAAGTATAGATAGGCCGATCATGTATATTTTTCTGTGAATGAAACCTGGCAACTTGAATTGCCAAACATGTGACTGCTGTCAGCCCTGCCCACCTCTCCCTGGCTGGACTACAGAACGCCTGCCACTCATCTCCATGGTATAAGTAGGTGTTCTGTAGGAGGAACTTAGACAGGGCTGATAACACTGCTTAGGATTTCAGGGCAGCAGAGCCAGGAAGTTAGGAGCACAATGGATTTCTGGCAGATCAACAAGTATATGCAGCATTTCTAAAGAGACATAGGGAACTGTGCATATACTGCAGAGCTGTACTATATAAGTTGTTTTTTTTTTTAATTCTCCAAAGATATACATTTTAATTCACTTCCTCCCAGACTGGCCCTGCTGAATGCACACATGCGTATAGTGATGTTAAAGACAACCAGTTAGTAATGGGCATTTGTACAAATGTGAAGCTCCTTAAGTTGTTAAAATTGTGCAGCCTTACCTTGCAGGGTTGCTGTGTGCTGTTATTGTATTTTCTCCCTGTCACAGTAGCTATGTCACATCTGTGTCAGGCTGTAAGGCCTCCATGGAGGCTGACCTGTCCCTTGCTGGCGCCGCTGTGAGAATACAATATACACAGCAGGAGATTCGTTCATCCATGCTTGTCATTTTTTTGTTTTTGTTCAGCATGCGAGGCGGAACGAAAAATAAATGTGCGTGTATTCCCAGCTTGAGAGTTGAAACTCAGCCTGACACTTTGGCTCTGGCAGGGAGAGAATACAAGTAAATAATCAGTCAGCTAATCCCGGAGTGGTAAGGCTGCACTATTGTCAGTATTCAAGAGATTCATCCATCCATAGAAACTCAAATGCCCGCTGGTGACCGGGTCTGTTCAAGGACTTTACATTGTTTAATTATTCCGAGGGAGAGACTGATGTCAGTAGTTGTGTTCAGTTCTTGGGAGGGGGAGACTGATGTCAGTAGTTGTGTTCAGTTCCTGGGAGGGAGAGACTGATGTCGGTAGTTGTATTCAGTTCCTGGGAGGGGGAGACTGATGTCACCAGTTGTATTCAGTTCCTGGGAGGGAGAGACTGATGTCAGTAGTTGTGTTCAGTTCTTAGGAGGGAGAGACTGATGTCGGTAGTTGTATTCAGTTCCTGGGAGGGGGAGACTGATGTCACCAGTTGTATTCAGTTCCTGGGAGGGAGAGACTGATGTCAGTAGTTGTGTTCAGTTCTTAGGAGGGAGAGACTGATGTCGGTAGTTGTATTCAGTTCCTGGGAGGGGGAGACTGATGTCACCAGTTGTATTCAGTTCCTGGGAGGGAGAGACTGATGTCAGTAGTTGTGTTCAGTTCTTAGGAGGGAGAGACTGATGTCGGTAGTTGTATTCAGTTCCTGGGAGGGGGAGACTGATGTCACCAGTTGTATTCAGTTCCTGGGAGGGAGAGACTGATGTCAGTAGTTGTGTTCAGTTCTTAGGAGGGAGAGACTGATGTCGGTAGTTGTATTCAGTTCCTGGGAGGGGGAGACTGATGTCACCAGTTGTATTCAGTTCCTGGGAGGGAGAGACTGATGTCAGTAGTTGTGTTCAGTTCTTAGGAGGGAGAGACTGATGTCGGTAGTTGTATTCAGTTCCTGGGAGGGGGAGACTGATGTCACCAGTTGTATTCAGTTCCTGGGAGGGAGAGACTGATGTCAGTAGTTGTGTTCAGTTCTTAGGAGGGAGAGACTGATGTCGGTAGTTGTATTCAGTTCCTGGGAGGGGGAGACTGATGTCACCAGTTGTATTCAGTTCCTGGGAGGGAGAGACTGATGTCAGTAGTTGTGTTCAGTTCTTAGGAGGGAGAGACTGATGTCGGTAGTTGTATTCAGTTCCTGGGAGGGGGAGACTGATGTCACCAGTTGTATTCAGTTCCTGGGAGGGAGAGACTGATGTCAGTAGTTGTGTTCAGTTCTTAGGAGGGAGAGACTGATGTCGGTAGTTGTATTCAGTTCCTGGGAGGGGGAGACTGATGTCACCAGTTGTATTCAGTTCCTGGGAGGGAGAGACTGATGTCAGTAGTTGTGTTCAGTTCTTAGGAGGGAGAGACTGATGTCGGTAGTTGTATTCAGTTCCTGGGAGGGGGAGACTGATGTCACCAGTTGTATTCAGTTCCTGGGAGGGAGAGACTGATGTCAGTAGTTGTGTTCAGTTCTTAGGAGGGAGAGACTGATGTCGGTAGTTGTATTCAGTTCCTGGGAGGGGGAGACTGATGTCACCAGTTGTATTCAGTTCCTGGGAGGGAGAGACTGATGTCAGTAGTTGTGTTCAGTTCTTAGGAGGGAGAGACTGATGTCGGTAGTTGTATTCAGTTCCTGGGAGGGGGAGACTGATGTCACCAGTTGTATTCAGTTCCTGGGAGGGAGAGACTGATGTCAGTAGTTGTGTTCAGTTCTTAGGAGGGAGAGACTGATGTCGGTAGTTGTATTCAGTTCCTGGGAGGGGGAGACTGATGTCACCAGTTGTATTCAGTTCCTGGGAGGGAGAGACTGATGTCAGTAGTTGTGTTCAGTTCTTAGGAGGGAGAGACTGATGTCGGTAGTTGTATTCAGTTCCTGGGAGGGGGAGACTGATGTCACCAGTTGTATTCAGTTCCTGGGAGGGAGAGACTGATGTCAGTAGTTGTGTTCAGTTCTTAGGAGGGAGAGACTGATGTCGGTAGTTGTATTCAGTTCCTGGGAGGGGGAGACTGATGTCACCAGTTGTATTCAGTTCCTGGGAGGGAGAGACTGATGTCAGTAGTTGTGTTCAGTTCTTAGGAGGGAGAGACTGATGTCGGTAGTTGTATTCAGTTCCTGGGAGGGGGAGACTGATGTCACCAGTTGTATTCAGTTCCTGGGAGGGAGAGACTGATGTCAGTAGTTGTGTTCAGTTCTTAGGAGGGAGAGACTGATGTCGGTAGTTGTATTCAGTTCCTGGGAGGGGGAGACTGATGTCACCAGTTGTATTCAGTTCCTGGGAGGGAGAGACTGATGTCAGTAGTTGTGTTCAGTTCTTAGGAGGGAGAGACTGATGTCGGTAGTTGTATTCAGTTCCTGGGAGGGGGAGACTGATGTCACCAGTTGTATTCAGTTCCTGGGAGGGAGAGACTGATGTCAGTAGTTGTGTTCAGTTCTTAGGAGGGAGAGACTGATGTCGGTAGTTGTATTCAGTTCCTGGGAGGGGGAGACTGATGTCACCAGTTGTATTCAGTTCCTGGGAGGGAGAGACTGATGTCAGTAGTTGTGTTCAGTTCTTAGGAGGGAGAGACTGATGTCGGTAGTTGTATTCAGTTCCTGGGAGGGGGAGACTGATGTCACCAGTTGTATTCAGTTCCTGGGAGGGAGAGACTGATGTCAGTAGTTGTGTTCAGTTCTTAGGAGGGAGAGACTGATGTCGGTAGTTGTATTCAGTTCCTGGGAGGGGGAGACTGATGTCACCAGTTGTATTCAGTTCCTGGGAGGGAGAGACTGATGTGGGTAGTTGTGTTCTAGGTACCGGGAAGACCTTACTCGCCAAAGCTGTGGCCACAGAATGCAACACGACGTTTTTTAACATCTCCGCCTCTACCATCGTCAGCAAGTGGAGGGGAGACTCGGAGAAGCTTGTACGGGTAAGAACCAGCTCAGTCGAAAAGAGTTTGGTCAACTTTGTGACACCCACCACTGAAGTGTTAACCAAAAATGTTTCGTTTATTGACCTCGTGTGTCCCCCCCCCCCCCCGCCCCCCCCCCCGTTGCTTTTTATGTAATTTTACAGCTTTCAGTAATAAAACAATTTGAAGAGCAAAGAAATACTCACCTGTACCTCGGGTGGCTGCTAGACCGGCCCCTGCAGTCTGTCTTCCCTTCTGCTCTGGCGATGGAATATCCCTTGGTGTCCTCACACCCTTTACACTATATTGGACGTGATAACTCATGGGACCACTCTTGAGTGGAGGGGGAGAGAAGCTGCATGGACCGGTCTAGCAGCAAGGACGAGGTGTAAATGTCTTTGCTATTTTAGACTCTAGACAGAAACGAGCAATGAACCCAGGATTGGGCAACTCCGGCCCTCCAGCTGTTGTGGAACTACAAGTCCCATGAGGCATTGCAAGACTGACAGTTACAGGCAGGACTCCCAAAGTTTGTTGTTAAAGCACAGCTGGAGGGTTGGAGTTGCCCACCCCAGTGCAGGGGCAGCCCCACTGCAAGGGTTAAGATTTCCCCTGCCCAGAGTTCTTCTTTAAACTGTATCTAAAGCCGCACATCTCACCGACAGATTTCAGGAACCTAATATGTACAACCTCCATGGAAAGGGGGGACATGAATGAAACCTTTACACCATGGAGGGTGTAAATAAGGCTCAGGAGGGCAGTGTATTCAATATGAGGCTAAGATCATGAACATGGGGACCTCAAACTAGCAGGAGGAAAGTTCAAAACTAACTTAAGGCCAGGGGTGGGCAACTCCGGCCTTCCAGCTGTTGTGGAACTACAAGTCCCATGAGGCATTGCAAGACTGACAGTTACAGGCATGACTCCCAGAGGCAGGGACATGTTGGGATTTGCTGTTAAAGCACAGCTGGAGGGCCGGAGCTGCCCACCTCTGCCTTAGAAAGTATTATTTCTCCAAAATAGTAGTGAATGCTTGGAACAGACTGCCAGCAGAGGTAGTGAGTCAGTGAACGGTCACCAGTGCACACATATATGTGGCCTCATGGAAGTGGGCCTTCTTCTGCAGGGTCCCTTGTATGCGTACATGTGTTTGTGCATGACTCCAGAGCACAGAGCCTGAGCTGTCGCCTACAGCTTTGGGTCTCGGGAGCCCAGTCACATGATCACTGAGATAGCTTGTGATTGGCTGTCAAAGCGATCATTAGCTGTAGAACCCTACACAGTTTTTATGAGGAGAAAGAGGTACATTGTATCTTATTCAACTTGCTAATAAAAAAAATGTCAAAAATAATCTGTGTAAAACAATAACATAAAGATGAAATAGTTGAATCAGGGCCCCCAAAAAGAAACAAGTTACAATTCACCCGGATACACCAAGCAGTCGCAAAGATATGTACAGTTTTACTAACGCGTGTCAAAGTTGCACAACTGGGTTCAGGGTTGTTTCACCTTCTGTCGTTAAAGAAGAACTCCAGGAATTTAAAGAAACTAACCCTTGCAGTGGGGCTCCCCCCGCACTGCAAGGGTTAAGTGCTCGTTTTGTCTAGGGGGGGTCAAATAAAGCTGATATACTCACCTGATCCTCGGTCAGCACTCACTTCTCTTCCACTCCAGCTGTCATATGTCCCTCGGCGTCCTCATATGTAATGCAAGTCAATGAACCTGCATTGGACGTGTCCTTGGACTGCTGAGGAGGCTGCGAGGGAGAAGAGGCTGCAGGGAAGCAGCCTAGCAGCCCAGCGTGACTGAGGATAAGGCGAGTAAATCTGTATTATTTGAACTTCATGTAGGCCTGCAGTAAGAATGTATGTTTATCACACGATTGTTGTAGTCGCTTTTATTGGGGGGGGGGGCGAGCCATAAGTAGAAAATTGCTACTGTGAAGAAAACCCTATTTGTGGGCATTTGTTTTCACATTAAGGGCTAGTTCACACCAGTGCAGTCGGAAAAAATAGGGCATGCAGCATTTTTTTCTGACCGCCCGCACCGGACCAGAACACAGGCATTGATGTGCCATGCGTTTCCGTACGGCTGATAACACTGCGGCCAGAGGGTATGGCTCCAGTGCCATTGAGTTCAATGCACCGCCAGGCTCCCTCCCTTCCCAAAACATTGCACTGAGGCTGGTGTGAACTAGCCCTTAAAGAAGTTGTAAAGTCCCAGCACATCCTCTCCTGTTATACCATCAGCATTGTAATAGGAATACATACTGGAGTTGTTTCTGATAATACAATCAAAGCTTACATGAAAACATCCCTTTTATGTAGTGAGCGCCGCCTTCCCATCTGCCCATCACTTCCATCAACCTTCTGGATTCCCAGTGTGCTTTGCGTCTCCTTCCCTGCTGCTTGATGTGATGCAATCTCCATTTCTCAAGACTACATCTCCCATCATGCATTGCTTCCAGCAAGCAGTGATGATATAACATTGTTCAGACATTGCACGTTTTTTTTTAAACCTAATGATTTTACTTACACAGGTTTTATTTGAACTTGCCCGCTACCATGCCCCCTCCACCATTTTCCTGGATGAGCTGGAGTCTGTGATGAGTCGGAGAGGGACAGGACCGGGGTGAGTAGACTTCTTATATGTGTACAGTTTATGGTGAGAAAGGACTAAAGGAATCAAAAAAGCCTTCCAACCCAATCGGTTTGTTGCACAGTCAAGCCTTCTTGGAACAGAAGGTATTCATATGTCTCATTCCATCACATATCCCAAAATTAAGAGGATTATTCCTTATTTCCGGACAGTGGGTGGAGCCATGCAGATAATTGGAGTGCATACAATTGGCCAGAACCGCTGGTGTATAGTACAAATATAACCTAATATTATAGAGCCATTTATTCCAGGCTGCATACAGCTGTTTCAGGCTTGCTGGCCATCATCATTGCAGTGTATGGAAACCATGACTTCTATGGAGTTGGGCTTGAAACCCAACAAGATAGTGTTATACAATTGTAAGCAAAATTATTCAACTCCCATTGCCAATCAGTTTTATTGGCAACATTTACAGACTCTCAGCTGTTTGCAATGAAAAAAATCAAACAAAAGCAATTGAAATAGGTCAAAACCACGAATGTTTCCCCGAATTCAACTGAAAATGCAACTTTTAATGACTTCTGCAGACTCAGAATTATTCAACCCTTTCATGGCAAGCATCTTTAGTACTTTGTAGCGCTCCCTTTAGCTGTTATGACTTGCTGCAAACAAGATGCATAGCCAGACATCAGCTTCTGGCAGCGTTCCTGAGGAATCTTAGCCTATTCCTCATGAGAAATGGCCTCCAGTTCACTAATATTCGTGCTGCAACCACCTTCTTCAAATCCCACCACAGATTTTCTATGGGGTTTAAGTCAGGTGACTGTGATGGCCACTGTAGAATCTTCCAGGACTTTTTCTGCAACCAAGCCCATTCCTCATGACCAATGGCCTCCAGTTCACTAATATTCTCAAATTCCACCAAGGCTTGGCTGCAGGAGTCCTGAAAGATTCTACAGTGGCCATCAGAGTCACCTGACTTCAACCCCATAGAAAATGGTGGGATTTGAAGAAGGTGGTTGCAGCACACAGCATGAATATTAGTGAACTGGAGGCCATTTCTCATGAGGAATAGGCTGAAATTCCTCAGGAACGCTGTCAGAAGCTGATGTCTGGCAATGCATCTTTGCAGCAAATCATAACAGCAAACGGGTGCTCTACTAAGTACATAAGATGCTTGCCATGAAGGGGTTGAATAATTCAGAGACTGCAGAAGTCATTAAAAGTTGCATTTTCAGTTGAATTTGGGGAAACATTAGTTGTGTTGACTGCAGTCATTAAGGCCTCATTCACACGAGAAAAGGGCGGCGCGTACAGCTCCGTGCTGCGTGCACGGCCGTATCGGGCAGCTCCCAGGAAGCACAGATGCTGCGCGTGATTAGTACACAGCCCCTGTCCTCCTCTATGGGAGTACGCGGCCGTACGCCGCCCTACGCTCACCCGCCTTGCACGTCCGTGCAGGTGTCCGTACTCGTACGCTGACAGAATGGATCCTGTCTGCATCCGAGCCGGGACACCCGCACCCACACGGACCTGCACTTGGGGTGAGCGTAGGGGGGCGTACGGCCGCGTACTCCCATAGAGAAGGACGGGACCTGCATACTAATCACAGGCAGCACCTGTCCTTCCTGGGAACTGCCCGATACGGCTGTGCACGCAGCACGGAGCTGTACGTTCCGGCTTTTTCTCGTGTGAATGAGGCCTGAAAGTTGCATTTTCACTTCTGGGGAAACCACTTGAAACATTCATGGTGTTGACTTATTTAAATTGCTTTTGCATGATTTGTTCATTGCAAACAGCTGAAAGATTGTACATTTTGGCATGAAACCAGACTTGCAGTGGGGGTGGAATAATTCTGATTACAACTGTATGGTTTGTTCCAACCCCTGACACTGAAAATGTTGCTAGACAGCTTGGTCTGTTACATGAACTGGGAAAAAAAGGGATCTACTGGCAGGATCAACGGATAATAAAAGTGAAGGGGGGAGGCTCATAAAAAAAAAAAAAATCTGGGTTAATGTTATTGACATCAATTAAAGTGACATTAAACCCTCAGATTTTTTAACATAAACCAATACTGTAATGTGCGCCTTACTGTAATCCATGGTTGTTTCCCTTTTCTTTGCTGCTCTTCCTTTTAAATCCTCATGTCTTCCCATGTTGGGGGAGAACTTCCTTTTGCAGCTGAGTGCCTCTTCCTGTAGTGCTGGCTCAGGTTGTGAACCTACACACAGACACCATGTATCCATTCCAGAGACAAGGCAGTCTGCTGCAAAACAGAAGTTCTGCCCAGCATGAGAACAGATACAGATTTAAAGGGAAGAGCAGCAAAGAGAAGGGAAACTACCATGGATTACAGTAAGGCGCACATTACAGTATTGGTTTATGTTAAAAAATCTGAGGGTGTAATGTCACTTTAAGTAATCATCAATCAATTAATATATGTGTGTTTGTGTGTATATTGTAATATTCAGGGCGGATATGACCCGTAGCCAGCCGTATCAGAAAATAAACTTTTATTCTTTTCCACAAACAGTGAAAGTAAATGGCTTATATTCAGCAAATACAAGATTCGGCTCAGCGCCGGTATACTAAGTCCCACCTCAGGGTAAAGGTGCCCATACACCTTACGATTATCAGACGAAACTTTTCGTCCGATGATCGAATAGTCGTATGATTTTCGTACGACAGCCCCATCCTGCCCCGATGATCGCAAGATTAATTTAGCCGTAATTAACGAAAAGCCTCTGGACGAAATGCGGTAATTGATTTGCCGTATTTTCGTTCGCGCATGCGCAGTGTAGATCGTACGACTTTTGACGGACGGAAACGCCAGCAACCTTACGACAATCGTACGATCTAGCAAAGTTTTCAAACATGCTTGACCGTCAAAAGTTGTACGATTGTACAGTACTGTCGGTCGGACACTGCAATGCACACATACGAATATCGGCCGAAAAGTCGTTCGCATACGAAAATCGTACGATAATCGTAAGGTGTATGGGCACCTTTAGAGTCCCAGCCTCAGGGTCAGAGTCCCAGCCTGCTCACAGAGGGTTCCAGTATGGACACAGGTGCCCCAGCAGTGTCTCGGCAGACTGTATTCCACAGCTTAACACACAAAGCCATGTGTCCTGTTCCAAACACTCCACACAGGCAGACTGACTGGCTTCCTGTTCCTTTTTAACACACCCTCTGGGTGGTGGTTTAACCCTTTCATTACCAGAACTGGCTGTAGTCAGGGATGGAGGCTCTGAATATAAGGTGACCTTAACGGGACCACCACCTAAACAAGGGAGAGATATACCGTCCATCCGTCCATCCAGGACCCATTCCTAGCATCCTAGCATATATATATATATGTATTGCCTTATTTAATGCAATGACAAAGTTATAGCCGAATCAATAGGCCTATAGCTAACACCAAAATTTGTTACTGTCCTTATATCGTACTGCAGTAGTTGTAGTGTTCATATGCGTAAAAAATAAATCGTTTCAGGTTGTACTGTTACATAATATTTGCTCTCAGTATGAGCAGACGTCTTTCAAAAAGCCTTTTCTCTAATTCTCACAGGGGTGAACACGAAGGCAGCCTGCGCATGAAGACCGAGCTACTGGTACAGATGGACGGCTTGTCTCGATCAGACGACCTCGTGTTTGTTTTAGCCGCTTCCAATCTGCCGTGGTAAGAGGCGCGCACAGCGTTGTGTGACTACATATCCGCAGCCCCTAAGCGCAGATCAACAGAAAGGGTCTTAGTTTTGCTTAAAACATTTAAAGATTAATTGTGAGCTCTTCCTCCTCTCTTTAATGTCTATTACTTGTCCTCATAGTAAAAAAATATAATATAATCTTTAATAAACTCAGATCTGCCATATGCCGGTATTTACAAAGCTCCCTGTGACTTTGCAGGCAAGTTATTTACTATGCTCCCAGTAAGAACGGCTTTAACTTCCAAGTGTAAAGTACTTAAAGCTGTGCGGAGCGCGGGGTGAGTGGAAGTGAGGGGTCGTGTAATCTGATTTATATCTGTCTACATATGTGATATCTCTTCTTTTACTGGAGGGATAAGAACTCAGCTGCACTTCAACCTCCCTGATCTCTCCATAATCTTTATGTAACAACATCATTTAGAGCCCCGGCATCAGAAGTCAGGGGAGGGGATTTTTTTGTGCAATAATGGTATAATTATTTGTATTTTGTAATGTTTCAATTAAAAATGTTAAAGTTTGTTTTTCTTTGTTATCAAGAACAGAGAATAATAATTATTATTTATTTGTTATAGTCGTAAAATAATAATACTAATAATAATGATAATAATAATATATTTATTGAAACAAATTATTATTATTATTATAATTATTATTATTTGTTGTAGTAGAATAAAAATACACATCAGTATTCAGATGATAAAAGTTAATTTCCTAACCCAGCGAGAGGGGTCACTAATGGGGCGGTCTCGCTGATTTAATAGACCGAGTCCATGATTGGGTTCACAGGAATGCAGAAGGACCAAATGAAGTTATAGGGTTATAAGAAGGGAGCTGCGCTACAATGGGTCGCTGCAACGCAAAACCACCACTTGCGTTATGGGGAAACACAAGAACTACTACAAACTTAAAAGACCTCGCCCAAGGAGGGCGATTAGGTAGAAAGGAGAGGAGAAGAAAAAAAAAAAGGCAGGAGGGGATAGGGAGGAAAGAAAGAAGGAGGCTTACTAGGTTCAGTGTGGTCCCAGGCACTGGTGGATGGTGCTCATTGTCAAGACAAAGAGTTAAAGTGGTAGTAGGCTGCAGTCAAATGATTGCAACTGGAGATATTGGAGCCATGGGTGCCACGTCTGTTCAAAACGTGCGACTTTATCTTCCAGTCTGGCAGTGATTCATTAATTAATGAAGGTCCAGTGATGTCTACGTTTTACTTCTGCAAAGGGGATTACTGTGGACTTCCAGGATTTTGCCACTGTTTGCTTGTCCGCCGTAAGACTGTGCACCAGAAAGCGTTGTTGAATGTGAGGCACGTTTTCCGGAGGAAGGTTGAGTAACACCACCTTCGGGTCAAACGGCAGCGTTGCACCCAGTAGGTTAGCCAAGAAGTCCAGTACATGGTGCCAGAAAGACCTTTTTTAGTTTTTCATACTTTTGCACTTCCTTTTTCTTTTTTTTAATGGTTTGAGTTGATTTGGGATATAAGTAACCTTATAATGGTTGTTTAAAGTCACATTTCCTACTTTATAAATAGAGCAGTTTTACATAATTTACTATGATGTGAACAGGCCCGGCGCTACCGCAAGGCAAGTCAGGCGGCCGCCTGAGGGCGCTGCAGGGTGAGGGCGGAAAAAACAGGGCATTTTGACAAGTACTTGTACTTGTACAAATGCCCCGATGCTTGCGCTATGTTTTCTTTTTTTTTTCTTCACTTAACTTGGTGCGGGAGAGCAGCGGCGAGTCAGCGCTGGTCCAGTGGGAGGAGCTCCAGGTGGGGTCCTAATTTAGCTGGCCGGCGACTGCCAGAGGTGCCGCGCGTGTCGAGATCCTCTGCACTCATGTAGAGAATAATACCAATAAGGCTATAACAGGAAAGTGTGTGTTTGTTCCCAGGGAGCTGGACTATGCTATGCTAAGGCGGCTGGAGAAGAGGATTCTGGTAGATCTGCCCAGTAAAGAGGCGCGGGAGGTCATGATCCGTCACTGGCTGCCTCCCGTGAGCAACAGCGGAGGAGTGGAGCTGAGAACAGAGCTGCAGTACAGCACCCTGGGGGAGGTAAGACTATTCTGTAGCCATATACTTCATAAATCCTTTAAGTGGACCGATCATCAGATATGTATATTTTATATGGTAAGTTCACAGGAAAATAACTAGTCACCTTGGTTACCTGTGGTCTCCCGCGGCAGCTGATCTCTTCCCCAATACTGACTTCTCATGTTTTATTCTGCAATGTGTCTCTGTGTGGAGGTGACCATCTTGGTAGAGGCAGGGCTTTGCTTCCTCATATGAGAGCCTCCAGCAAGAAGAACGGGGAGCAGCACAGTAGCAACATCTCCAAGTCTCACCCTAAGGCCCCATTCACACCTATGCGTATTGTAATATGCGCGTCTGTCGCGCGACCGTCACGCTTTTTTTTTACGCGCGACCGTCGCGCGATTCCAAAGGCTACTCGGCAGTATACAAATGGAAAACGCCCTACAAAACGGACCAATACGCAGCAAAAAACGCTCCGGGACCTTTTCATGCGTGGGCCGTTTTGTAGCGCGTTCGGGACGGGCGGAAATACGGACAGGTGGGAACGATACCATTGACTACAATGCTATTTATTTTTCTGACCGTTTTGTAGAGCGTTCATCGAGCGTAGGACGCGCTACAAAACGGTCAGGTGTGAATGGGGCCTAAATCTTTTGAGACTAGCAGTCATGGGCACCGGTGGCTTAGATCAGTGATGAGTGCAACCTCAGGACCCACATTTGTCCTTGGTCATTAGATCATGACCCAAGTTGCACCGCACTGGAACGCATGGCGTTACGGTACGGGCAATTGAACTGTGGGTGGGAGGTATGTTTGGGGTGCCATTCAAATGAATGGCAATGCGACACACTTTCCACACCAGAATGCACGGTGGGTGCAATTTTGCGTGGTACAGTGCGTTAATCGCACGGGACTGTGCACTGTACTAGCGTGAACAGGGCCCTCAAAAACACTGACATACACACACAACCACAGACACAATCTCACACACCTTTGCACACATACATACTTTCTTTTTTTAAGATCCACCCAGTCTCCCTTCCTTACTAGAACTGGAGTGGCTCCTCAGCCTGGGGTCCTGTTTGGCTGCTGTGATGGAGCTCCATCCATATGTGTATTGCTTGTACAGCTCCCTTACGCACCCTGTAGATGTTCCGGGAGCCAGAATCTGATGTCACTCCAGTCCAGGCACCTCTACAGGGCACGTGAAGGAGCTGTAAGCAATGCATGTATGGATGGAGCTCCCTCGCGGCCATGGCCCCATCCCACCCGACCTCAATGGCTGCTTGCCATGAGAAATGACAGTGCTGCGTAGGGGGAGGCTGAGGGGTGCCTTCACACCATGAAAAGTGGAAGGCATGCGAGGACCCACTGAACACAGCGTCGCGACCCACTTTTGGGTCATGTCCAGCCAGTTGAGAACCAAGGGCTTAGATGATCTGACACTGCAGCTATACAGCTATCAGGCAACAGCACAGAAGTGCCTAGGCCCAGGGTACTTCTTAGGCACAGTTGACAAGGCAAATATTCTTTGTAACATAGGAAATGTTCACAGAAATTACCCTTTCTCTAATAATTTACCCTCCCCAGCCTCTTTTTTGTGATCAGACATTTCCCATCAGCTGTTGTGTAATCTGCCATGTGTAGATACTAGCAAAAGCCAACTAAGCCACACGTTACCCAACATGACACCGTTTTGTGTTCTCAGGAGACTGATGGTTACTCTGGATCGGACATTAAACTGGTGTGTAAGGAGGCGGCTATGAGGCCTGTGAGGAAAATATTTGATGCACTGGAGAAGCACCAGCCAGGTATGTGATCAAAAGGAGCAAATGGGGGAAATGTAACACTCAAAACCACCCAAACTGCAACCATTTGCTTTCCTCTGTTGAGAAAGCACGCATGTTCTTGTATCTCAAATTATAATCGTGTAAAGGGTTAGATGGAATGAACTGTCACGCATTGATTAACCAATCACATTTTACATCTCTTTGGGAGCCCCTCTATTGGAAGGCTGAAAGCCCTGTGACACCCCTGTGTGTCCTGTGTGGGCCACAACTTCAGCCTGAGTAGGTGGTAGGTTCTAATACATAAAAGTCCTATGGGAAAGCTTGTCAGTGGTGGAGGGGTTTGGGGCCTATTTCCAGCACACAACAAGGCTTGGCTCAGGCACAGAGGCTCCTATATAGCTGGAGGACCTTTAGAGGCATGCAGGGAGATCATGAAAGGTACCCTGTACTTTGGCACGATTGCTAGTTTCAAGGCATTGAGGTATCTGACACATTCACTTTAAGATGGAAATGTAAATTTCACTTTTGAAATGGTTCGTTTCAGAGCCGAGTCTTCCCAGAGGAACATTTGGCTTGATTCTCAGCTGGCTTATGATGTAGATTTTAGGACATTCACTTTACATGACTCCCTCTCCTTCGGCCACTGCAGTGCATAAACTCAGCGGTGCCAGACAGGAGACGCATCAATGTAGCCTACATGTTGTAGTCACGTAAATACTGGTCTGCCCTCAGACATCCTCCGACATAGATCTGCCCTCAGACATCCTCCGACATAGGTCTGTCCTCAGACATCCCCCGACATAGGTCTGCCCTCAGACATCCCGCGACATAGATCTACCCTCAGACATCCCCCGACATAGATCTACCCTCAGACATCCTCCGACATAGATCTGCCCTCAGACATCCTCCAACATAGGTCTGTCCTCAGACATCCTCCAACATAGGTCTGTCCTCAGACATCCTCCGACATAGATCTACCCTCAGACATCCCCCGACATAGGTCTGCCCTCAGACATTCTCCGACATAGGTCTGCCCTCAGACATCCTCCGACATAGGTCTGTCCTTAGACATCCTCCAACATAGATCTGCCCTCAGACATCCTCCGACATAGATCTACCCTCAGACATCCCCCTACATAGGTCTGCCCTCATCCTCCTACATAGGTCTGTCCTCAGACATCCCCCTACATAGGTCTGTCCTCATCCTCCGACATAGGTCTGCCCTCAGACATCCCCCTACATAGATCTGTCCTCAGACATCCTCCGACATAGATCTGTCGTCATCCTCCTACATAGGTCTGTCCTTAGACATCCTCCAACATAGATCTGCCCTCAGACATCTTCCCACATAGGTCTGTCCTCATCCTCCTACATAGGTCTGCCCTCAGACATCCTCTGACATAGATCTGTTCTTAGACATCCTCCAACATAGGTCTGCCCTCAGACATCCTCCTACATAGGTCTGCCCTCAGACATCCTCCTACATAGGTCTGCCCTCAGACATCCTCCGACATAGGTCTGCCCTCAGACATCCTCCGACATAGGTCTGCCCTCAGACATCCTCCTACATAGGTCTGTCCTTAGACATCCTCCAACATAGATCTGCCCTCAGACATCCTCCTAAATAGGTCTGTCCTCATCCTCCTACATAGATCTGCCCTCAGACATCCTCCTACATAGGTCTGCCCTCAGACATCCTCCTACATAGGTCTGCCCCCCATGGGTGGATAAATTAATATGGAATTCAGGAGCCAGCCTGTCCAATCCAGCAGGATTTTTTGGAGCCAAGTCCATTGACAGCAACTAAAGAAAACCTCAAATATTAAGCACCATCTGTCATTTTTAAGGGGAGCATTGGCTACCTGGCTTCGGGGATTTAACCTGCCCTGCTATCCTCAGACATCCTCCAACATAGGTCTGCCCTAAGAAATCATCCAACATAGGTCTATCCACAGACTTCCTCATCCATAGGTCTGTTACCAGGCTATAGACCTGATGGACCAGTTTGTCTTTTCCCACCATCACTCTTCCAAGTTTGTAGCTTTGCTAAGAGAGACAGGGGTGGTTGGAAGTTGATTGATGTGTGTATGAGGTGTCCTAAATGGACACAGCCGGCCACACTACCAGCTGAAAGTGATAATAGTGGCTTCTATAAAAGGACACTTATTTTGGCGAATAAAGTATATCAATATATTTCAAAGATTTTTTTGTTTTTATTCATTTTTATTTGAATTCATAGAAGTGTTCCTGTACTTGTATCACCGTCACCTTATAATGACTCTGGAAGACTAATGGAAATAGAGTTACCGGTAAGTCCTAACTCTGAATTTTTTTTCCTGGAAGCTATAATCAGAATTCATGGCTTACAAGTATCAAAAGCAGGTTTGTGAAAAGCAGACGTAAAATAAATCTAAATTGTTAAATATTTGACGCAGACGTACAAACTCTAAGCTCCCGGATCACAACCTGGACAGTTCTTGGGTACACACATAAGACTTTGTTGAATAATGTTTATTATGCGTGCATGCTGTACTTCCTATCCTGTATTGTCATACTTAACCTGTGTTCACGTGTACAGGAAATAAGGACATGCCGGTCATCCGTCTGGACACGGTCAACACATCTGACTTCCAGGAGGTTTTAGCGCACACGAAGCCTTCCGCCAAGAGCCTGGCTGGGAAATACAGCGCCTGGCAGAAGGAATTCGAGTCTGTGTGATGGACGTGTTACCCGACCAGCAAAGTAGGAGCAGACTGCCCGCGGACACTTCCCTTACTGCAGCCGAAGCGTCTCTTTTATTACGGAGGATAGACGGTATTTTTTTCATACCAGTTTTTACACAGAGGCACCAGAGACTGCTGAAGTTTTTAGTTGTTGTGTTTATTATGGCGAATTTTGCACTGAATGAATAGAATAAAGACATTATTTCTTTCCAGGGTCCCCCAGCCAACAGAAGTGGATCTTTGGGGGGTGCAAGCAATCCAAATACTAAATTTGCTGAACTCACAAAGCTGTGATGAATGTGTCATTTACCATATGATAGTCATTTTTTTTTTGTCACTATAATTTGTTTAGCTCTCATTGGCTTGGTTGCTAAATATAACCGTTAATAATCCAGATCTAAGAACAAAAATGTTAAATATATTTCAGCTTACCAGGCCTTAGATGTGGTGGCTGCATTAGTTTTCTTTTTTTAGGCTTTTCCTTTAATTTTCACCTGGTGATTCGAAGAAAAAAACATTTTAATGTCCTGTCCTAGGGTGGCAACGTTGACTCGCCGTACTGTATCTACGGAGCAGCATTGTCACCACAGGGACAGGACTATAGAACAGCTCCCTCTACTCTTCTCCATGACATAAGAGAGTTGTGAAGTTCTCGTTCTCGTGAAGAATATCGTGCATAGTTCATTTATTTCACTAATGCAACTTAAAAGGTGAAACTAATATATGAGAGAGACTCATTACATGCAAAGCAAGATAATTCAAGCCGTGATTTGTCATAATTGTGATGATTATGGCTTACAGCTCATGAAAACCCCAAATCCACAACCTCAAAAAAGTAGATTATTACATGCAATCAATAAAACAAGGATTGTACATAGAACAATATCGGACCTCTGAAAAGTACAAGCATGCATATGTACTCAGTACTTGGTTTGGGCCCCTTTTGCAGCACTTACTGCAATTACTTTTGCACGATATTCTAATTATTCGAGTTTCACCTGTAACTGATAAGAGTGCATAACAGGCACAGGACAAGTTATCAGCGACAACATTTCTGGAAGGATCAACCGGCATTTTTTATTGGAACAGATAAAACAAAACACTGTTAATGATATGTCTAACAAGCCAAAAGGGAGCAAATGGAAGAACGTAATTGTTTGGGTTTACATAAGAAGTCTCGCCAGAGGATGAAAGTACATGTGACTCCCCCCCCACCCCAGTGCACATTGCACTTGCTCCCATTCAATTTTCTGCAGGGGTTTTCAAATATGCAATTGTTATTTCTGTCAGTGGCGGTTGTAGCTCCACCCCCAGGCTGAAGCCCAATTTATGGGCATTCCTATGGAGGAGTTACAGCCAGCACTGAAGTCACCTCCCCGTCTTCATTCTGCAACCCTCTGCCTCCTGCACTCAGAATGGCCTGCACAACCCCCGCCCCCTCCTGCTCCTCTGCCAGACACCTTCAGCTCTGCCATTTAGCCCTGTGCCTCCTCTGCCCAAATCTTTGAACAAGAAATTCGTATTCCGACAAAACTTCTCCGTTTGAGCTATTAACCCCTGTAGCTTAAAGGATAAGTGCACTTATCTGTTTTCTCCTCCTCTCCTGAGCTAAACTACTGCACCCTCCGTATATACAATGACCGCACCTCCGGCATTTATTTAAATCCTGACTTAAAAAATGTGTATGCCAATTGCTTTCTTTATGGGGCCCTGTGGTGAGGTCAGAGACTCTCGGATTATCCTATTGAAGTCTATTGGAAAGATATTGCGAAGCCACGTCCAGCTCGCAGACTATTTCCTTATCGGCGTATAAACAAACGCTGGAGGCCGCGGCTAGTAGATCAAGATAGTCATATGGGATCTGGGGAGGAGGACGTAGTTTAGGTTAGGCGAGGGGGGCAAAAATGAAAAGCATGAGTATCTGTGAATGAAATGAGACTAAAGGCTGATTTGCTGAAATGTTACTTTTAATAGCAGGTTAGTTACAAGAGAAGTGCCTTCAATTCTCTGAATCTAATCTGAAATGTCTTTGATGACTACAGGCATAGAGGTTCATCTATCAGATATCTGTGCCATGAACATATGTTTGTCTCATCCAAGCATACATATTTATGTGAACAGGAAGAGGTAGTAGTGGTTAGACAGCACAGACAGCCTATTTCAGAACAAACAATAGTGATAGGACAAGGTTATCAAACAATTTGGGTCCGGCCGGGAGAATCTGCAGCCTCAACAGTTTGCCTGCGTGAGGCTCAGTGTGTTCCTATGACTAGTTTTACAGCTGTACCTTTAACAAAAGAAATGCTATCCCTCCCTTCCTAGCCCTGGTGAACGCTATCCCACCCTTCCTAGCCCTGGTGAACACTATCCCACCCTTCCTAGCTGTGGTGAACCAACGCTATCCCACCCTTCTCAGCCATGGTGAACTATCACTATTCTATTTTGCCTAGCCCTGGTTAACTAATGATATCCCACCCTTCCTAGCCCTGCTGAACTAATGCTATCCCACAATTTCCAGCCATGATGGGCTAATCTAAACTAATCCCCTTCCCCATCAGCTTATTTATCCCAGTAGCAAAGCTCTGGCATGCTCCGATGTTTTCAGCCTCCCCGGCAAAAATCCTAAACACGTCTGCTCATTGAGCCCTCATAGACTTGTATTGGGGCCTTACTGTGGGCGTTCCCAGCCCCATACAAATCCACATGGATCCTATTATCTTTCTTATACTAAATACCCCTAACCCCCGGCATATGCGAGAGGCAGAGTCGTGGTCAGCGACTGGTCTCCCGCTGGTCTTATCTATATTTCATAGAACAGACATCAGACAGTATCATACTTCATACACACCAGGTGAGTTGCTTAGGTAGCACTTAAATAAGCCATGGGAGTCAGGAAACAGACTCAGAAAGCTCAGTCTACCTTCACAGCAACCACATATCTCCAAAGACACCGGAAAAAACAAGGAGCACCTATACAGAAAGACTATACAGGGGCTCTGTGTATAATATAACTAATAAAAAAATATGTACTTGGAGTCCCCCTTTAAAGCAAACCAACAGGTTAGGTGGCCTTACCTTTCCTTCCCTCCACAGCAGCTCTGTTCAGTGCAGAGAGCGAATTGAAACACCCAGTAGTTCCAGGTATGGAGCAGCATTTCACTCACTCCATGTGACAGTGCTGGACCAATCAGCGATGCCACAAGGGGAGCCCATAGCCCCGCATAAGCTATGACTCCAGAGACTCGTAGCTTATACAAGACTGCAGAAGGGAGCGGGGGAACGAAGCAAGTATAAGCTGCTGGGGGGGCTGAGTGAAAGGAAACCTGCTGCTGTACGGACGTTCTTATAAAGCTAAAGCCTTATTCACACCGGCCTCCTGCGTTTGTTTTACATGCGTTTAGACCACATGATGTGCCCCTGGACGCACAGGTTTCTATTTTCTCTAAACACAATTAAACGTAACGCAAGTAAATGCGACGTGTACATTATACCATTACAAATCATTACATGTATTTACATGCATTTAGCAATGTCCTACAATGTACATCATTGCCCGTGTGAATGAGGCCTAAGTCACTTAGCGCGGGACAAATATGCAGTTTTGGAGGTAGAAGGGTGGCAGGCGGTTCAGTCTGCATGAGATCTCCTTATAACAGATCCTTTAGGATGTAATCCACGGCTTCGGGGAAACTTGCACAGGTCAGGTGTGGTGCTGGATCTATTTTATGTTCATCTCCGTCTCTGTATTTTCCTGTTTAACAGAAAGACGTTATTTGTAGGGATTGAGAAAATACCCCAAGGATGTTCCTTCAGTACAGAAAATACCCCAATGATGTTCCTTCAGTACAGAAAATACCCCAAGGATGTTCCTTCAGTACAGAAAATACCCCAAGGATGTTCCTTCAGTACAGAAAATACCCCAATGATGTTCCTTCAGTACAGAAAATACCCCAAGGATGTTCCTTCAGTACAGAAAATACCCCAATGATGTTCCTTCAGTACAGAAAATACCCCAAGAATGTTCCATCAGTAGAGAATATTCACAAAAGATAAAATACCCCACGAACGTTATTTTAGTAGAGGAAATACCCCAGCCAACATTCTATTAGTAAAAAAAAAATACTCCAAGAACATTATAACAGTATAGAAAATACCCAATGAATGCTCTATCAGAAAATACTCGGGATGCATCAATATCGGTTTTTCTGTATCGAGTACCGATATTGATCTCTCTTGGTACTCGCCGATACCTATACCGCTACTTCCCTAGCATGGAGCCGGCTTCTTGGGCAATCAAGAAGCTGGGCAGTGTGCCATTACCCGCCGCCCGGCTTTTTGATTGCCCGGAAAGCCGGCTTCCCAGCCAATCAGCATTGAGCTGGCTACCCGCCCAGTCAGGGAGACGTGAGGCGGGTCATTACGCGCTGTCCGGCTCCCTGATTGGCCGGGAAGCCAGCTCCATGCTGAATGGCCAGGAAGCCAGCATCCCAGCCAATCAGCATGGAGCCAGCATCCCAGGCAATCAGGAAACCGGGAGGTGGGTCATTACCCATGGCCCGGCTTCCTGATTGGCGGGAAAGCCGGCTCCATGTTCCCTCGCGGCACTGCCGGTCAGAGGAAGTCTCTGACCGGAAGTTTCTGTATCGGGATAGGTATCAGAGAATGTGGGCGAATATGAGTACTCATCCAAATACTCGGTATCAATGCATTCCTAGAAAATACCCCAAGAACGCTCTATTAGTAGAGATAATACCCCAAAAACATTCCACCAGAAGAGGAAATCCACTAAGAACATTCTATCGGTAGAGAAAATACCCCGAGAACGTTGTGTGAAGGATTTTGTGGATGAATAGCTATGTGAATTTTTGTTATTATCAGAACCCATTGGCCTCTTAAAACCGGACCTCTCATTTCTGAGCCTCACTTTAACGAAAAGTAATTGCCCCATTATTTCTGTATCCATCCCGCCAGTCCTACACAGGGACCAGTCCTGAAACCTGCACAGGAAACTAACACCGCAGAGATGCTGCCACTGAAAATAACTGAAGCAGCAGACACCTAGGGGGATTATCATGTGCGGTGCTGACTTGGTGCCCGGCCCTCTCAGCCCCCCCCCACAGGATGCTCTACCAGGGCTTCATAGACGGGGAAAGTGCAGCGCACGTCATCCTCACAGACAGGACGGTACATATGAGTGGCAGCTTTATGTTCATAGATACATACCTGTTCTGACCAGGATGCCCAACATTCCAGTGTTCTGTGCCCCTCCGATGTCATCTCTGCTGTCCTGCACAGAGAAAACAGCAAATGTTTTAATACTCACTGATGTTCATTTACGAATTGTACAACAGCCAGATCTCCCATAGCACATGGGGCAGTGGGATACAGTTGTGTAGCGTTATATTCAGATTGATGTGTATGGAGGAATAAAAGCAAACTGATCTCAATATGACACTTAGGGGGCTATTTATAAACAATTTGCAGGATCATTTGCCCTGCGAATATTTGTGAACCTTCAGTTTGGACAAATGATGCCAGGCGTGAACGTTTATAATATATATTTTTCTGGATTGAATGTATTATAATGTCATGCTCCATTTTGGCCACTAGGAGTTGAAGAGCCTAGGAAATATGCATTTCCTTTGCTCCATCTAGTGGCCATAATGTAGTATTACCTGACAATACATTCAAAGTGGAAACAAATATTAAGAATGTTCATTTTTGGCATTAATTGCCCAAAATTAAAGCTCACAGATATTCACAGAGGGAAGGGCCCTTCAAAATAATAGACCCTTACTGATCCCAAAAGCCCGTGCACACTAGCCCATAGGCTCGGTACATATTTGCTTCAGTATTTACCTAGGTTTTGGAAAGTCAACCCACTTCAAGCAGCTTTATTGAAGCCTTGATAGCACCCATCATTTCCAGTATGGGGGTCTTAAACACATTTTATTGCGTATCTACACCAAAGAGTAAAACATGTCATATATTGCAAGATACCAGTCCTTGGTGGCTGCATTAGTTTCCTTTTTTCAGGCTCCCCCCCCCCCCCCCCCTTTATTTTCACCTGGTGATCCTGAGAATAACACACTTCCTGTCCTAGGGTGGCAATGCTCACACCTCTACTGTATATTTTACAGAAGGAAGATAACTTCTTTCCGCTTTCAGTTCAGCTCACAGGCAGTGACAAGCACTGCCAAGATCAATAGGTATCATCATTCTCTTGCAATTCTCTGTACAGAGGAGCTCACACTGTGAGGGGGAGAAGCAGCACATGCGGCATGCTGATGTGCTGATGGGTAGGTCAGTCCACCTTGCTCCTTCTACAACTGAAATATTTATTTTGGATGGGCTGACCCTCCAAGCTATACAAGTCCCGTCTACCATGAACAAAGTGTACATTCGTTCGGCGGAGGAACGCGGTTTTCTTGCACTGTGCGTAGTCAGCTGTGATTGTGGATGCAATACCAAAAAAGACCACAAGGGGTCAGTGTTGTACTGCAGACTTTGGCTGCTGCTGTGTCATAGACGGACTTCTGCTTTCTAATAAAAGGCAGAAATTGGTAACAGTTTCAAAGGTTCTCCACGAAGGTGGCCACACACCCAGCGAATTGTAATCAACCAGAACCCGAGTTTAGTGAGGTTTTTTGTTTTTTTGCTGGCTAGCATGACAGTGTGCTGGGAACCCTTTTGGGTTGCTTTGTATATTGCTCGGCCCACGTGCTCCCTTCTCCTTTCTGCTAGTGTTAAACTAACCTAAATGTCAGCCATTTAGTTTTGTATTTGGTGCAGAATCCCACTGGAGGCCTTGCAAAGGTGCAATCTGGGCTTCTGGTGCATTGCTGTGTCTTTAACCCTTTCGCTGCTAGAGCTGCTTTTTTACTGCATTGCACATGTGTTAAAATGCACATTGTAGGCCTGAAGTTATCTTAAAGGAGAACTATGAGATGAGTGATTTCCACTCACCTCATACCCTGTTTCCCTGAAAATAAGACCTACCCCGAAAATAAGACCTAGTACTATTTTTGGGAATTGCTCAAATATAAGATCTACCCCGAAAATAAGACCCAGTTGTGACCTTTCCCAGGGCCGGTGGTGGCATAAGGGGGAACTTGAAGAGCCGTGGGAGAGAATCAGCGGTGCCAGCAAAGCCAGCGCTAGAGGAAGCGAGGCGGCAGCGGAGGGAGCAGAGCCGCATAAGCCGATGCCTCCTCTATAGTGCCGGCTCCTGT